CACGCACATATATATATATATAGGCAAAATGATTTCTGCAGCTGTTGTACCTACAGCAAGCAAGGATCTGCGTCCGGATCCTAGGATACGGCAACGGATCCTGAGTTTTTTTTTTTTTTTTTAAAAAAGCCGTGGGGCCCACTTTTCTGTGTCAGCTGTAGATAACACTATCTACGGCTGCTGCAGAAATGTTAAGCCCATATATATATATATATATATATATATATATATAAGGCTTATTGTTTATCAAGTTATTTGATATAACTTTATTTTTTGACTACTAAATCATAACGTTACAAAGATGAATCAATGGTGATAAGAGAAGAGAAAAAAAAATCATAACCGTTAAAAAATGACGTAGTTTTTTAGTAGATGGAGATAAATATATCTCAAGTTGCTTGAGGAATATTTTTCTCATATATATATATATATATATATATATATGAATTCGTTTTTACCGTGAATACAGATAAATTATCTGCATTGAGCCCAAAAGAATATCGTTTTGGGACGGAAATCAATGTGTTTTTGTAATTATAATTTATTTTAATATTATAATAGTCTTTATCATTATAATATTAATCTTTTAATCCAAAACAACATCATTTTAGAAATGAATATTAATAACTTATCTTCGTTCACTTTACAAACATTAATATATATATATATATATTAAAAAAATATTCACTCTCGTTGTTAACAAAATATACTTGTAAATTAAAATGAAATAAAGTCAAAACTCAATTATTAGTAATTAATTATTGTACGGATAACAGTCACCACCACTAATCGAGGTCAACGATGTTACTTAATAACTAATTTATATTTATTTCTTCCATTTTTATTTTTTTTTCGGAAAAAGTTAAGCAAACCTCACTTTTCTCCCCTCTTTTTAACCTACAAAAAGTAAATATAAAAAAGGGTTTTTATTTTCTAATACAACAAGATACACAATACATGGTGGGTCCCTCAATACTCGGACATGGCGTTTTACAAAATAATCATGGACACGCTCCGACATGTTCTAACACGCGGTCAACATTTCATGACATGTGGTAAATTGTTTGACACGCTCCGACACGTTTTTTCGACATGCAGTCAACTTTTTCTTACACGTGAACGCTCTGACACATTTTTTTTAGTCTTAATTTTATTTTATTAATTAAAAATAAAAAAAATCATTTATAAATTTTTTTTTCTGTTATGAAATTTGATATGAAAAATTAACAAGGTACGAAAAATTATTTTTTTTATATTTATGTTATGAAATTTGAATATTTAATTGGTTATATGACTTATTATGAACTGTTATATGTATTAAATATAAATTATATTATATATATTACAAATATTATTTAATATCAAAACGTGTCTTAATGTATCGAAATATGCTATTTTTTAGAATTAACGTATCTGCATGTCGTGTTCCGTGTCCCGTATCAGTATCCGTGCATCATAGGTGAGTCCAGCCACTTATAAAAAAAAATTGTTGCACAAAAATTGATGACTCACAGCATAAGAAAATAACTCTCCTATTACAAAAAGAAATGTATTTTTTCTTATTTTGAAAATGTAAAATTATTAAGCATACATGAACCGCCTCAAAGCTTACGTTAGCACAACTCAAATTAAGACAAAAGAAGACAGGATAAAAGCCAAAATAGTTGACTATTTTCCGTTGTTTCCCACTCAATGTTGACAAACAAATGTCCAATCATATTCTTGGTTTCCTCTTTCTCTTGCCTCCTTTTGTCTCTCTTTTTCTTCAAATAATAATAAATTTTATAAGAGTTATGTTGTAACTTGTAAAAAAATGAGTGTGTTATGTTATAGAGATTCATTTTGCGTTCTGAAATTATTATTTTTTTGCTACGGACCCTACAAAATATTGTGTGTGTAGAAAATTTTTTGTGATCACGTTAAATGATAAATGATAAACCCAACAATTATAGCAAGTATTGATGGAAAAGATAAGCATATAGCCAAAAAAAAAAAACAATTATTGTGGGTAATAACTCTTCTCTTCTGTTATGATGAACATCCACTAATACCATGATTTATCAAAGAATGAACAGAACCAAGCACATAGACAAATTTTAATTTGGAACAACTTCTATCAATGTGAAGGTAAAGACCACAAAATTAAGTCCAGCAAAGCATCTACTATATATTAATGATCAATATGTAAAATCAACTGATAGAGAGTCCGTCTTTCAAGAGTTCACAATAGTCACACCCTACTCATTACCAAGAATGTGGAGACCAACAATATGCCAATAGATTTGCTTGTCTTCAAATCATGACGCTTTCTTAATTGTTGGAAAACGTGTAAGGTTCAATCCAATCTAGGCCTTAATTCTTTCATCCGTTGTCTTGTATTTACTGATTCGCATGTGCAGAATTGTAACAAATACGTTGTATACACAACAAACATTTGAATAGACTTGGCACTATTGGAAATAAAATTGTATAGACTTAGAGCTTAGGTTGTTGAGATAGTGGAGATATGAGTAGGTCATGAGTTTTAGTAATGATCATGGCTATCCCCATACCAAAATGCAGTGCATATAAATTATATCTTAAATGGCATCATGTTTAACACCAAATGTATATGTGTGTGTATGTTTGGTAATAACCACGTTCTCCATAAAAATAAGGATTTTATGCAAGAGTGCGCTTAGGCTTGCTTCTAGAATTTACTCCCATATCTTGGAAAATAATAATTTGGTAAGCCAATAAAGATCAAGGTTCCCTTTCACTGATTACTTTCGGGAAAGTGTAATCAATAAGTTGAATAGAAAATCTTCCCAGAAGAATAGGGAAAGAGATAATATAAAATGATAATGAAAACGATATTTTGGTATATTCCCGTATTGATTTTTATGTGCTACTCTTGAATCCTTGCTTAATTTGTTCATGATCAGCAAATATTCAAATTCACTTGCACATTCGCACATTTAGTTGCAATATTTTGAATATGGCATTTTGTGGGTGCCCATAGATTAATGGCTTTCAAGTAATTGGTTACCTATGGATCACCGTTGGCTTTCTAACACTAAGCTGATCCGACCAGTCTGATCGGTTGATTCGTAAACCAAATCCCCAATCAGTTTGATTAGGTATTGAATTGGTCTTGTATTTGATCCGGTATGAAATTGGTCTTGAACTGGGTTCAACAGGTATTAAATCAGCTCCGATTTTTTTTTAAAAATTAATTTTGTGAGATTTTGGACAAAATCCTTGAAAAATACCACTAATGAGATTCAATTTTAAACCATATGAATTATAACTTATTGAACTTACCACTAAACCAATGCTAATTATTAGTTAAATTGCTTCTAATTTTATATGTTATATTATATTTAATTCATGCAATTGAACCAGTGATCCACTAATTGAATCAGTGACTCATTGACCCAATACTCCAACCGAGTCGATAACTAATTCGAATTTAATAATACTACTACAACATAGACCGCATTAATAAATCATATGTATTTATATCTTTTTATTATTGAAATTATATTGTATCCCATAATTAAAAGATTTTTGCATATTTTATCTTACCTTATTCTACTTTAACTAATAGCCTCCAATTATTTTAAATTTTTCATAAATTAAAACAACCATAAGCGAATTTACGTGAATCTTAAGAAGAAAACAAAAACATGCTTAAATGGGTGAACCTCCTTTTAACTTGATCTTAGAATGATGAAGTGATATATATGGGTTACAAATCCCACCGTTTCACGAGAATAGGAAGCATTTAGTTATGGGTTCGCTTTTTCTGCAATTATTGCAGATAAATTATCTACCGTAAGTTTAATACGACGTCGTTTTGGGGCAGAAATCATGATATTTTTATAATTTTAATTTATTTCAGAGTTATTATAATCTTTATAATTATAATTATTTAGTTTTTTCAATCCCAAAATGACGTTATTTTGAGAATAAATGCAGATAACTTATATACAGTAACTGCAAAAAATATTATTCTGTTTAGTTAATCAAGCTCAATTTTTCCTCAAAACGTCGTGCGAAGTGATCGCCTGAATTATATTCTAGTTATATAATACATTGGGGGATATGATCATTAGTTACAATAAAAGAAATTATAAGGAAAAATGTTTTGACCGTTTAATCAGGGACAATACATATATACGGTTGGATCAATAGAGGATTCTATGTCATTTGCCTAATTGAAAACTATATGCAATTAATAACCTGTTAGAATCAGATTAAAGCTAAATCCTAATGTGACAACAAAAGAGAATCTTTTAGTTCCACTTATCCTTAATTAACATAGTGACACTAGTTAATTAAAGTGAAAACCAGTTGAATTCTACCTACCCGTTCTACTTTTGGTGCTTAATATTCGATTTCTTATATAATTGGGTTAATTACTTTCTCATATTCTTTCTTCTCCCCAACTTGGCATCATTGTATCAGAATGCACAAACAAACCCCTTTTTCTTAATTATCTTCTCAATCATCTAAACTTTTACTCAATTAGTTCATGGATCATAGATATTTAGTTTTAAAAACAAAGGATTGTGACCAAATTAACAATAGGAGTAAAACAGAAATCAGCCATTCCCATACAAAGTGACTCATATGCTTTAATACTAACAAAATCTTTTAATTGTTTCTATTTTAAGCAAATATGCACTGATTAAAGAGAGAGAGAGAGAAATTTATACCAAAAGAGAGAGAGAGAGACAATGGAGAATTAGAAGAGAAGAAGAGCAAACTTCATTAATATTAATATCTACAATATTCTAGACATATATGTACCTGTTTATATATCAACAATGGCATGATAGGAAATTTTTGTTACATTGATTAACACCAAAAGTAGGTCATATCTTTGGCCAATCCACTCAATCACCTAGTGTATTATAAATGATCCAAACCATAAACAGAGAAAAGAAAAGACAAGAAAGGGGAGTTGGACCATGTAATCCATAGAAACCTAAAGCTATAATTGATATTCACATTTTCTACATCAAAATTGCATATCTCATGCTGTCATTTACCATGAGATGATTCATTTCAGAAATTTGTGAAAATTCACCAGTTACCCAAACCCCATCAGACCCATTAACATGAGGATGAGAAACACATGAGAGTATTGATATGGGAGCGTGAAGAATGCTATATACAAGCCTCCAACCATGTTGTCTTCTTCCCCTGTCATGTCCAAAAATCTGTAACTCAACCGCGTTTCCTGGTTCAAACATGTTCTCATCTGCCACCTTTGAGTTCTTTCTTGTGCTGTGAAGGTTTCTTGTCACTGCAGCTATAACACCCCACATCTTCTGCTACCTGAGGTAATTAGCTACCTAGAACTCAGATTCGTAATATATATAGTTCAGAGCTTGTTGGAGTAAGATAGAATATGGTGATCGCTCTGAACACTGAAGAGAAAATAAAGGGTTGGAAGAGCCAACTCTTCCTATAAGGCTTTTAATAATGGTATTTAGGTGGTGGTGTTACCGGTGCTTGTCTTTATCATATATATATATAGTGTCAAATTTGAAATTTGACACCTCATCTCAGAGTCATTGGATCAAAAAAGATCAACGACTCTGATTTGTAAGTATGACACCATTGATCTTTTTAGATCTAACGGCTCTCAGATGAGGTGTCAAACTTCAAATTTGACATTGGTGTCAAATGATCTTACCTCATATATATATATATATATATATAAAGGTTTATGGGTGCATTTTAGTTTTAAAGAGGCAACTATAAGTCTATAGCAACATTTCTGTTCTTATTAATCAAAGGTGGGGTCTATTATGGCCAACTTGCACACAAAACTGCCTAATTGTACAAAAAAAAATCTTCAGTCTTTTAACTTTCAAAATTTGGGTTTACTTTTGGTTAGTTGTTCTTGTACATCAGTTACATAACTGGTTAATTTCACCAAAATATAAGAAGGAATTTTTAAGGTATAGCTTTACACTTTACAGTTCATTTGGCCACAACTTGTTAGGGTCCCCTTCCCCCCAAACTCACATGAAGCTTTGGACAAAACGCTTAGCTGATGATGATCTTATCAGCATTGCGTAGGGTGATCAATCATTGAACTAGAAACTTCAGCAGAGAATCATGACCGTCGATGATTGATCTTTACATCTATATATATACATGTTGCCCGTTTATTAGAAGAACAATTCATCAGAATAATGCAAAGTTTTTGGGTTCCCCACAAATAGAGAAGTCAATATACCGGTACCAAAATGTGATGCAGACCCATGTGGTGGTATGTCAATGAGTACTATTGCTCCACTAAAGAAGCCTCAAATGGTTATCAACTTGTTGAAAACCAATAAGTAGATAAAGATGAATACATAATTAAGTTTGACAAAACATTAATTGAGGAGAAAAATATGCAATTGGATTATATATAAAGCCAAATAATCAGTATACAATATACCTTACTATAAGTTAACTATTATTTTGACCCATTAAGAAGCGTAACAGCTGATGCTATGTGAGTTATGTGACACAATGAAGACCACAGAAGCTACGAAAGGTCAAGATGCGAATTCTTATGTCCTAAAACTAAATCATGATTACTTACACACAGGAAATCTAATCAGGATTCAAGATCTTTCGAGCCATTCTTGTTTTTTCCACTTTCTTTTTTCCCCATAACGTATATCCGTTGTTGGAAACTTTAAAGTAAATATGGACTTAGCATAATTGATGATCTTATCCAACAAGCTGACCTACCAAAAAGGATAGATAATACATGAACATGCCTTAAAAGGGTATATCCAGCTAGAGCTGACAGCGCCAAGCCGCCAACCTTCCATTTTTGCGTAATCAATTACTCTTAGGGGGTGTTTGGTTCAAGTTTTTGTGGAGAGGATTACCGGTAATCCTTCTTTGGTAAATGTAATTACCACGTTTGGTAGAAAGAATAAATTACGATTCCCGGATATCCAAGGATTACCGGTAATTTGATTTATAAAGAAAAGTCACTATTCAGATTACCAAAAATAATATGGTAATTCGGAATACCAATCAGAATACCAAGTAAAGGGAAAGCACAACAATAAATTTTGAGACCAAAATACCTCAATACACATAAAAATCTAGACTCAATCTATCAATTACAAAAGTAAAAATAGTTTGGAGTTATTTTTGTAAAATAACCTCATATTCCAAGTCATATTTGGTTCTAAACCAAATATGAAATCAATAATTTTTACCCAATATTCCCGGTAATATTTTGGCGAACCAAACACATCTTTCGTAAGATTCCAAGTAAACTCAATTTCTACTGAATTCCCATTAATCATGATTCCCGGTCACCAAAAAATTTCTCCTGTACCAAACACACCCTTAGCTTCTAGTCTTCTTCCACTTTTATCACGTACAAATTATATATCCAAACCCTTCACCATTTAATCAATCCTAATAACTTTTTTGCATTCTTACTTTCATTCATCATATAACTTTTCATTGACTTTTGCATCGGAGTCTCCATACCAAAAACTTTCAATTCCTTTGCGTATATTCAATGCCAATGAGTTTACACATGTTTGGTGTGTTGTTAATGAAGATTTTTCATCAAGAAAATGATCATATGAAATTTTAACATGATAATCCATTCCTGTTTTCATCTATCAACTTTTTTTTGTGTGGTAGATCTATCAACTTTTAATTGGTTAAAGTGAAATCTTCCAAGTTACATTTGTACAACGTATATAATTCTGAAGTTTTCCTAGTGGGTTTACTTTTATCCTTCTTTAGGCAAAAAAAATTTTTTTTATTTTTTTTGGGATAATGTGTTTAACGAAAAGACAACTTGGGGTTAAGTGGACAACTGAAAATTGAGTGGACCAAACCCATGTATTAATTTTATTAAACATAAAAAAATTATGAGGGATTGATAGGAAGTGATGGGTTATATATTAGTTCCTAATTATGGAAAATATTTTCAGTAATATGGATAAATCGATCATTTGATATATTTATTACCAAATATGAAAAAAAAAAATTACATTATCTTTATTTTTATAGTTATTTTTTCATATTTTTATTTATTTTTATAAGAAAATTCTTATTCTTGTTGCATCAAAAATATGCTCTAACGTTGTACATTACATTTTGCATATTCATGTTCATGGACTGCGATCGTGTACAGTTAAATCATAACTCTGAAAATTATTTCTTTCATAAGAAGATGATTTTATATATGTCATGTTGTTGTAGGATATTTTTAGTTTGTTATTCTAATATATTCAACGTGAGTCCCATTCAAAAAGAAAAAAGAAAACAATAGGTATCTTTTTTTTTTGGAGTTACTCAACCCTAATTATCTCTTTGAGACGAGTTGGCTCCCTCCGGTATTTCCACGAGCTTCGACTTTTTGAGCCGGCTATGGGACTAATCCGGAGTGCGGGGGAACAGTGATGGTTAAAGGTTCAGCCTCCTCCCCAAAAATTCATTTAGCGGGAATCGAACACATATCCAACCCCACTAACTCAGCGCCAAGTTACCAACTGAACTGCACCCATTGGGTCAATTAGGTCATCTATTTTTTGTGAGAGTAACATGACATTACAAATTTTATACAACATGACATGTATAAAACCTTACTTAAAATATTATAAATTTAGTTTGAAAATTACGAACCACTCAATTTAAATTCTGCAGACGAGGAAAATATTATCTCCTCTTCACCTGCCAAATATGTCAACAGACTCAACACAACTAAGAAAGTGAAAAGACTTTTGGGTGGCCATGAAGTAGAATATTCCATATTTATCTATATTATCTTCATCCTTGCACTGGGTCATGTGTACTTTATAGGATGGCCACTGGATCCATAGTGCCACAACTGTCTCATCACTATTATTTTATTTTAAACTCAAGAATAAAGCGAATAATGATAGCATTCCTCCCATTATCTTGATATAATTTAGATTAATTAGTGGCATCATCACCTTGAAATAAAAGGGGATAGGGTTTGAAAGTCAAAGTCAATTTTGTTTACCAAATATCATAGTATTGACCCACCATTGAGATCAGTGACCTTAATGTCGACATTGTTTAGAAAAAAAGTTCTCTAACTATCACATAAATAGTAAAATAATTTAGAGTGTGATACGTCCAAGTTCACTATAGCATGTAACGAATTTTGTTTGTAGACGTAGCATCTAGTTTATTACTGATAATAGCAAATTAGGTGATCAAAAATCATTCTGTTCTGAACAAAACAGGACACATGTTATCCTTTTCCCAATTCGCTACTTGACACAGCAAACTAGTGCACATTTTCATCTTTTATCTCTTGCTCTTACTCTTTGCCAAGCTGTCTCAGCTCCCCTATTTGTTTTTTTTAACTTAAACATTGGGGAGAAAAATTAATCATGGATGGCCCCTAAATTTTCATCCTAGTTTATAAGGGTGTATCAAGTTGTAGCCCATCAAACAAATAATACAGACAGTGCATACTCAATGAAGACAACCTATCCAGCAATGACTACATCGGCCATTAGAATGAAACTAAGCAATGAAAGTTACAGCCTGCATTCTCAAAACCAAGCATTTTACCCGACACGCTTGTTCTTATACAACAAAGTATCAGCTTGGTATAGCCTTTTTTTTTTTTTTGGTTTACTAAACATTCTATAAAATCAAGTTTACAAGTCATATAAAATCCTATAAGGCGCAACATAAACACCCAAAAACATAAAAAGAATTACACTAGCGTATAAATTATTTCCCCAAAAATTAGAAGAAGAAAAAACCTACTTTTACAACTTCCCTCTCACCAAATTTGATTCTCATAATCACCCATATATTCCTATGATAAAAAGTTTCAAGCGAGAAAGCACATAATTAATTGAGCTGATGGGATGGAGTAGTCAATGCTTCACAACTAAAATTTCAAAATGAGTCAAACTTGAGCTACCACAAGCTGAGGTGAGACAGCTTGGCAGAGAGTAAGAGAGAGAGATAAAGATGAAAAAGTGGACCTGAGATGTGTGCACCTAATTTGCTGTGTCAGGTAATGAATTAGGAAAAGGGTAACATGTGTCATGTTTTTGCTTAGAGCAGATTGACTTTTGACCACTTAATTTTGAAAAAATTTACTGTTTATATGATATTTGAATTATTTTTTTTAAAAAAAAGTGACATTATAGTCACTGACTCACTGTTCCCCCACCATTGAGTCTATACCTTATAAAACACCACAATATGATACAGGCAAGTTCAGAAAAAAGAAGTTAAATATTATATATATATATATATATATATATATATATATATATATAGGCTTAATATTTCTGCAGCCGCCGTAGACAGTGTTATCTGCAGCTGACACAGAAAAGTGGGTCCCACAACTTAAAAAAAAAAAAGGATCCGGAAGCGGATCCTGACTTGCTGTAAGTATAGCAGTTGCAGAAATCATTTTGCCTATATATATATATGGATTAATATTTTTCATAGGAGATAATTTTATCTCTTACACATATATAAAAGTGTGTGAATCTCATATGAGGCCATGTGGAGAGAAGATAAAAAAAAAAAATGAGTCTCACATACTTTTATGTATATGTACGAAATAACATGAAAAACACTAATCTCATATATATATATATATATATATATATATATATATATATATATATATTCTAAGAATTATTGTTCAAGTGATAGAATTTATAGAATGAGTTTCTTTTAGTTTATTGTATGTTGTTTTATTGTTAAACTATTTTAATTGGGATAAGAAAAATGCTAAAAAGTTGCAAAAACAATTTTTATTAAATACGCAATGATCTAGACCCATACTAAACATGATAGAGGGTCCAACCCATTTTACAATTCAAGAGACCAATATAAATAGGTAAGGAGTAAGGAAAAGTGTTGACTTCGTGTACACATCATCCACAAGTACATAGTTGTAACAACAATACCACAGAGCTCTTAGGCTTTCTTAACGACTAATGGTTGAAGGACAAGCACAATGTTCCAATTAGATCTACATAGCATAGCCCACAAACAGATATCTCACAAACAAAATAGGCTATAGGAGCCACTTGCATCCATTAATAAGATTGAATGTCGCTATGCTAAAGTAATATTAGTAGGTCATACCACCATTATATAAAGAATGCTCAAAGCTATGATTACTTAAGTTCATTAATCAAATACTAATTTGAGTGTCGAAGTGTCTTGCACGTACATCTCTCATTTATCCCAGCCCAACAAAGATTTCAAGCACTAGTACAACCATCGCGCGCCAAATCACCTTAAACCCAGTTAGGAACTTGCTTTAGACTCCAATTCAACCATAATCAAATCAACCATGTGAGGTTAAGCCCAACATCTCTTGTATTGATCACACGAAAACATCAAATTTATCTCCATTAATTTTGTTGCATTTATGAAACAATTTTTCTTTGTCTTCATTGGTATACCTATTCCTTTTTTATTTTTGTAAAAGATAATTCCAAATAGTTTTTACGAAAATCCACGTGTATTAAATAGTATTGCTCTTGAAATAGTAATTATATGAGAAATTAAGTTCTTTTCATGATTAATAATAAATAATGAAATGATAATATAAAAAGTGTTATCATAACATACTTTAAATCCTGTATAACATTAGAGAAAGATGTCATATATAATTGAATAAAGAAGTTGGACAAGTTTGATAAAAAAAAATAGAACAGAAAAATTTAGTAAAGAACTAAATTGTCCTACATGGTGAGCCCGTGGGCCCAGTGAGCCTAAAAATTGAAAAACAAATAAAATAAAAAATTATCGGGCCAGCTCAAAAATCATTGGGATGGATAATTTAGGCCCTTTTATTGAATGATATTATGCGACTCGGCCCAATTATCTTGGACCTATATAACAGTACACGAGTGGAATAAAAAGTTATTAATAAATGAAAAAATAAAAATAGAAAGTAATTAGGGTTTTTCTTTTTTTTTTCTAGAGATTTTTTTGGTAAATTCATGCGCGAGAAGCTCTGAGGTAGCGTTTGGTTGAGGAGAAATTTTTTGAATACTAGGGAAATGTAATTGATAGGGAAATGGTTGGAAAGTGAGTTTGGTAGGAAAATGTAAAAAAAGTTGTTTGGTAGGCTGAAAAATTACCAGGAAAATTGGGTTAAGTTTACTGAGTCCATGTTTGATTGAAAGTAGAATATTGACGGGGAAATGTATTAAAAATACGAAAATAACCCTTTTACTTGCTGCAGAATTGGGGCCTTCAGCTTTTACTACAGGTTCAAATACTTCATTTGGTCTGAATTTCTGCATTCCACTCAACTTTAACTTCTTCGTTTATGTTCTCCTTAGTTGCTTCATCAATAAATTTTTTCAGAACATGTTTCTCATCCTCCATTGCAACTCCATTTTCAGAAATATTATCAGTTGTAAAAGAAAGGCTAATTTTTTTCATATACCCCCACGATCCTCCATCAATTCAAGGATATTTTAACATAAGCTCTTATTAACGAAGCTTTTCTTTATTAGAAAACAAACGGTAATCAATCACTCTCAACTACTCTCACTACAACATCTTTTTTTTTCCTCATTTCTTTTCCTTTAAACAGAGATGTCAGCAAATAACAAGAAAGTCGTGGCTAGTGGGTGACGACGAGATTCAAAAATAAAGTAAGGGTTCTTTTTGGTATGATATTTTTCATTTCCCCATCAATTCAAGGATGCCCATCTGGGTGGTATTCTTCCATAGGGTTTTCATCCAAAAATTACACGGTCAAAGGAATTCAGGGGAAATAGCTTTCCTAGGGAAGTTTTCTCAATTGGGATACCAAACATGAGATTCATACATGCCCACCTTCACTTCCCCAGCATTCTGAAAATATACCTCTTACCAAACACCACCTGAAAGAAACCCTCATTCATTCGATTCTCAATCGGCTTTGAATTTTTGTTTTTGATAGATTAGGGTTTTGAGGGAGCGATGGCTATTGCAGCCCCAGGGCAACTCAACGTGAATGAATCCCCCACTTGGGGATCCAGAAGTGTTGATTGCTTCGAAAAGTTGGAGCAAATTGGCGAGGGCACATATGGGTAAGTTTCAATCTCTGTGCTGTTAAGCTTTTAGTTATCAAAATTAGATTTTTATTTATTTATTGGGGTTGCCTTTTGTATGGAAGATGAAAATTTATGAAGTCATTGGTAACTATGCTTATCTACTTTATTTTTTACTATGCAACGCACTCTATTGGGATAGTTGAACTCTTAATTCATGAGCAATCGTCATCAGTATTATTTGTTAGGTGCTCTGCGTTTTCATTCTTATATATCTCTTTTGTTAAAAGTTATTTATTGGTTTTTTCTGGTTTCTTTGGCTGCTTCTCTCGTACAGTTTCTTGTCTTGTGTTCCCTTCGCCTGTTTTCTGTTGATGAAGCAGTATTTTTGCCACAATGGTTTCTTCTTTGGATTATTGGATATAGTTGTCAATTCTATCATATCCTTAAAATTTCATACGGTGTTAGCTTCTTCTTGTCAACACATTTTTTTTTTCCTTTGGACATTTGTTCCCACTTCTATCATACAGAAGTTTTATGACACTCTTTAAATGCTTAAAATGGTTACCTTCAGGCACGGGTTATTTACCAATTTTATGTTCTTTAAACTCTTCTTTCCACTTCACTGTCAACAAAAAAGAAAAAAATATTGTTTGCACTTCATTGCTGATGTTGACTGAAGTGTTAGTGGACTGATACATACCTTTATATATTTCTGCTTGCAGTCAGGTTTACATGGCTAAAGAGAACAAAACTGGTGAAATTGTTGCTCTGAAGAAAATACGAATGGACAATGAGAGAGAGGGGGTATATCTTTGAATATTTTGTTGTTTATTATTTGTGCATAACATATTTTATTTGTACTTTGCTTCATATGTGATTTGCGGGATCTGTCTCGTCAACTTTTACAAACTTTTCATTTTACATGCTATTCAGTGGATCTAAGTCAGAAGTTGCAGTCACAATCTTTTACTACTTCTGTATTATGAATTTCTCCTCTGAACTGTATTGCAAATTTTGTCATTGCAGTTTCCTATAACTGCTATACGAGAAATCAAAATTCTAAAAAAACTACACCATGAAAATGTGATCAAGCTGAAAGAAATTGTGACTTCTCCAGGTGCTGTTTTTAAAGATCTAAATGTGCTTCGTTATCAACATGATATAGGATTTTAAAATTTGTTTTACTTATATATATTGTTTTCTGTTTCTTCTTTCAGGCCCTGAGAAAGATGAACAAGGGAGACCTGGCAAGTTCTTCGTTCTCGTATTACTAGCCAATTACTTTATTCAAAATTAGACAGTTGCACATAATATGCTCTATAGTTCTAGCTGTGTGAATATATCCGTCAACTCCCTTTGGATTCTCTTAGTTCCATGCTCACATAGTTCATCTGCTTTCATTCTTGTTTTGGGGATTGCAGATGGTAACAAATATAAAGGTGGCATCTATATGGTCTTTGAATACATGGACCATGATTTGACAGGTCTTGCTGACCGACCTGGGATGAGATTTACAGTCCCCCAAATTAAGGTATTACTGTTAATACGGAGTGTTATTTTTCATATGTTAATTGTTGTTCATTTTAATGCTGTCTGAGTCTGAGCTGCGTTTTCCTTCCTAAGTGTTACATGAGACAGCTTTTGACGGGGCTTCACTATTGTCATGTAAATCAAGTACTTCATCGTGATATTAAAGGTCTGTCTATAACAAGATTGAGTTTTTAGATCTTCCTGCTGGATCAATTACTCCTATTTGATGTATTTTGTTCTGTTGCAGGCTCAAATCTTCTTATAGACAATGAAGGAAATCTGAAGCTTGCAGATTTTGGACTGGCACGATCATTTTCTAATGAACACAATGCAAATCTTACAAATCGTGTCATTACATTATGGTACAGGTAATTGGTGTCAATTTTGTCATGAGAGTTCAGCTGGATGGGGGTTATGACATTGGCCAGTACACGTATTGAGTTTGTCATTATTTATATAGACCCCCTGAGTTGCTGCTAGGGACAACAAAGTATGGGCCAGCTGTAGATATGTGGTCTGTTGGGTGCATCTTTGCTGAGCTTCTTCATGGGAAGCCGATCTTTCCTGGAAAAGATGAGGTTAGTGATATTCTACGTTTCATGGTTGAGAGAAATTAGAGGCAAAGTGGTGAGTGTTTGATTTGACATTGTTTATAGGCTAGATATGGTTTTATCTTGTATATTGTAGCATTAATGACTGGAAGAAGAGATTCTTTATATTACATTCTGGCTCTTTATATTCAGTCTCTAAATACTTGCTGGTTGCTGCCAAATTTGTTTTTCTGCACATTGTAAACATCTGTGAGCCCAGTAGCCACAAGGAGAAAAATAACCTCTCTGTTTTCATTGAAGTGGCTTTACATTTATTGCCTTGTGGTGCCAAGCTGATTATTAACAGTCAGGGAAAGGTAGAATGCTAAGAACAATGTTTGGCTAGATTGCTGGATCTTTCCTGCTCAATGCTTTTCCGAAGTTCAGTTGTTATATTCTTTCCAGATCTTGCTTATATTATATATGACCTATACTGTATATTCTTATGGTAATTATTTCTTACACAGCTTAAATGTAATGCATGTTATGCTTGCAATAATTGTAGCCAGAACAATTAAATAAAATATTTGAGCTGTGTGGAGCACCAGATGAAGTGAATTGGCCTGGGGTTTCTAAGACACCTTGGTATAATCAATTTAAGCCAACAAGGCCAATGAAAAGACGTCTGAGGGAAGTTTTCAGGCAGTAAGTATCAAATTACGAGCATTTTATCAACCAAAAAAGTAAGCATGTAGATGTACTCCATTTTCTATGGTTTTATCTTTATCTAAATAGTTTTTTTTCCCTATGCCTTGAATTATAGTTTTGATCGTCATGCTCTGGAATTGTTGGAGAGGATGCTGACACTTGATCCAGCTCAGGTATCATTTCTTCACTTGTGGGTCTGATTTATTAATTGTTAAATGAATCATGAATTGCTATTTCAAGTTCTTCAAATACTGTCATTCCAGTTTTATCTTATATCACTCAAACTGTTTTAATTTGACAAGGTTAGCTGCATCCACTATTGTGGTTTTCTTATTATGATATTGACAAAACTCATAATAAGCTTAGGATAGAAATGGTGTACATCTGGTTTCTTCTGTGAGAGAATTGTAACACCCCGTTCTAGAACCGGTTTGTTAACATCGCATTATGATATTAAGCGCAGTTACAATCACATGGGTTCAATTAAAAATCCGGTTAAATTTCTCATTTCAAAACATGCCGAATTTATATTGCCCAATTGCGTGATCATAACCATATTACATTGCGAAATAAAATAAATTAAGCTTAACATCATACTCTTATATCCTTAGACCAAATGTTATTAAATGTCTTCTTCTAATCATTAGCTACGCGTGGCTTCGAACCGCGTCTCATTTGGAGCACTGTAGCTCGCGTTATGACAAATTAGAGCAACAAAAGTGTATGTTGGACACAGGCCCCGCGCGCTACCGGGCGCTCAAGCGCGCGTTATCGAGCGCTAAAGCCTCCATCTGGGCGCTTAAGCGCACGGAGGCTGAGAGCATCAGGTCTTTCAGTGTAAATGGGCGCTTAAGCGCGCACCAGGGCGTTCAAGCGCGCTATCCTGGGCGCTAAAGCCCGCGGAGACAGTAAAAATTCCACCTTTTCGCAGCGAAGAGCGCTTAAGCGCAAACCAGGGCGCTCAAGCGCGAGGAGGCAGTGAGAATTGGCTCACACAAGGGCAGCAGGGCGCTTGAGCGCGCTCCTGGGCGCTGAAGCGCGCTGCCAGGGAATTCCAATTCCCACATTTTCCAAATCTAATTCTAGGGAGGTTGCATTTCCATTAACAAGCCACACTTGTTCAACCATCTAACTTAACCCTAGAACTTTTCCAACCTCTCCTCATGTCTGTACTAAAATTTAGGCAGCATAACCTTTGTTTTCTCAACAATTCCCAATTTAGCACTAGGTACCTAATTTTGTTTTCAGCTCAACAATCCAATACATAAAGAGTATGCATATAATGAACTTAAGGTAATCATCAATTACAAATCATGTTCATTACAATTCATGGAACTTAGCTTACAAAACACTATGATCACTCCCTTGGCTCCCATCAACAAAGAGATAACCAAAGGCATGAGCATAGGCTAAGTCCATTCCAAATAAACAGAACATACATCTATCAATTGTCTATTAATTACAATCCTATACATGTGAGCTACAAAACAACATGTATAACATCAAAATACAGGATCCTCATGCATCACTACTAGTCCAAGTATGGCCACTTGCCACTGGTGGCTCCTGCAGCATCCTTACCTGAAAGGGGGTCCCCACAACACGGGGTGAGATATACGAATATATCCAGTAAACCAGGGGTCCTTGGAGCATCTCTCCACCCCACAGTTCCGTATCAGTGTAATAGCAATAACAATAATAATGCAGTAAATACATATCTATGCAAAGTTCAATAACATCTCCAGGAGAAATCCCTCGAGCTCTCAAGCTGTCCTAAGGAAACTCAGATGCAAATAGTCCTACTGGCCAGCTAAACTACCAAGTATGATTTACGCATCGTCATGCATCATACCACATAGGGAAACACCATCCTATGCCACACCAAATGCATACACATACGTATAACAAAGCATTACACTATTTCATTGCATTTATATACACTATAATTACCACTACCCTTTCAGGGCTTGGTGGAACAATCAAGGGAATTACACCCAAGGTCCGAAGGCTTACCTCAAGCTTTAGTCAACCTTTGTTCCCACCAACAATTTCTACATCCAGTCAAATTCGCATTCAAGCTATAACTTGCAAAATTCACCTACACCAAGGTGTCATACCACCAATCAATACAATTTAATGAATATCTATGTATTCATCAACAATACAACAACACCACACCACAATTGGCATGGACTTACCTATCCCAAAGAGCTAATCAAGCTCCATTGCTTGCTCCAACGGTTGGTCAATTAAGGTTGGTCCAATTGCCTTAATCCTAGACAACACAAGGATACAATCAACAACCAACCAAGCAATGGTTCAACAATGCAAGAATTTCCACAATTCCAAGCATGACATTTTTGCAATTCTCAAAGTATTATTCAATGACTATCTAAGCTCATTTTCACCGATTAAATGCCATTACTAACATTTCTCATAACATCCGCTAAACTCCAATACTCCTAGAACATAGCCAATCTATCAACATTTCACAAAAGCCCTAAAACACTATTCATTAAACCCTAGATCATGCAATTTCAATGGATTATGGGGTTCAAGGAGTAGAATCTTACCACCAATGGTCACACAACCAAGGATTGATGGCTCCTCAAGCTCCAATGGAGGTTGAAGCTCCCGAAACCCCAAACTCTCACAAAGGAGCGAAATTTTGAGAGGAAAAATCTCACCACACAACACTCCCCACTAAGAACCAAGCTTAGATTAATGACGAGGGCGAGATTCTAAGCGATTTAGGCTTTTGAATCACTCAAAACGGTCAGAGTTTCTTCCCTCCTCTCTCCCTTTCTTCTTCTTCTTCTTCTTCTTTCCTCTCTCTGTTTGCTCGACGGTTTGGGTGGGAAATGTGGTTTTTTTGTGTTATTTTATCACTTAACACATGTTAAGTGAAATAATGCGGGTATTGGTTCGTCTATCTATTTAACTCCAATAATTACCAAACTTCACCCAAAAGTCCGGAATATTGTTCTAGGAACATTTCCACTTTTATTTTTATATTTTGGGTACTTTTGCCTACACCAATTTATACCCCTTAATTTTCACTGAGTACACTTTTTACTTCCAAAGTGACCCCAATTCATTTTATTAAGTCTTATACTTAATTTTACTCACTAATACATGCTTAATTATTTAATTACATGTAATTTGCTAATTGAGTTAGGGCTATTATAGTCACCCCACCTTTTAGCGATTTTGTCCGTAAAATCAAGAACATACCTGTCCCTAAACTCAGGATACTGTCGGAGAAGCTCATCTTCGCGCTCCCAAGTTGACTCTTTCAGGCGTCCTTCCTTCCCATTGAACTTTCACCAGAGGAATGGATTTATTTCTCATCCTCTTCTCATCTCTTTCGAGTATTTTCAGTGGCCCAATATGAGTCTTCAAATTCTCCCGGATCTCAACATTATCAGGTTGAACCACATGAGAAGGATCAGCTACTTATCTCCTCAACTGAGAAACATGAAATACATAGTGTAATTTTGCTAATTGAGGAGGTAAGGCAAGCTGGTAGGCAACCGGTCCTACCCTACGAAGAATCTGGTAGGGTCCAATAAATCTCGGACTCAGCTTCCTCACTCCAAAGGCTCGTCCAACACCCGTAACCGGTGACAGCTTCAGGAATACATGATCTCCCTTCTCAAACTCTAGAGGTCGATGCTTGAGATCATAGTAACTTTTCTGACGATCCTGAGCCTTTTTCAGACGATCCCTAATCATTTTGATCTGCTCAGTATTCTCCTGAACAAAATCCAGTCCAAACTGCTCTGTGTCTCCAACCTCTGACCAACAAGTAGGTGTACTACACCTGCGACCATACAAGGCCTCGTAGGGAGCCATACCCAGACTAGCATGAAAACTATTATTATATGAAAACTCAACCAGCGGGAGATATCGATCCCTTGCAGTACCCTGCTCCAGGGTGCAAGCCCTCAGCATATCCTCCAACGTCTGAATGGTCCTCTCAGTCTGACCATCCGTCTGTGGGTGATAAGCAGTGCTCAGTCTCAACTGAGTGCCAAGAGCCTCCTGCAATGCTCCCCAGAAGCGAGAAGTGAACTTCGGGTCCCGATCACTAACAATGCTCTCAGGCACCCCATGAAGCCTCACGATCTCCTTCACATAGAGCCTAGCTAACCTCTCAGCAGAGAAGTCTACCCGCACTGGCAAAAAGTGTGCGGATTTTGTCAATCTATCCACAATCACTCAATTAGAATCATAACTAGCCTGTGTTCGCGGCAATCCCACTACGAAATCCATGGAGATACTCTCTCATTTCCATTCAGGAACATCCAGAGGTTGCAACATACCAGAAGGCTTTTGATGCTCAATCTTGACCTTCTGACAAATGAGACACTTAGAGACAAATTCGGCAATGTCTTTCTTCATACCAGGCCACCAGAAATTAATCTTTAGGTCCTGATACATCTTTGTAGCTCCCGGATGAACTGTGAAATGACCCTTATGAGCCTCTGTCATTACTTCCTCCGCCAACTGCCTAGGTACAACAACACGACCCTGATATAATAGTATACCCTCATCATTGCAGGATACACCACTCTGACCTTTCAGTCGTTTGTCACTTTCATTTTGCAGTTGAGCTTCTTTAATTCTGGTCATCAGTTCATTTTCAATGCTTGTAATTTTGATGACACAAATTCTACATGGAAAGATTTTAGATAATTGCATATCTCTGAACCTCTCAATCACATCATAATCTCTAATCATCATGCTTGCTAAGCTCACCGATTTTTGGCTCAGTGCATCAGCTACAACATTAGCTTTGCCACAATGATATTTCAATTCAAAATCATAGTCTTTTAGGAACTCGGTCCACCGTCGTTGTCTCATATTCAATTCCTTTTGATCAAACAAGTATTTCAAGCTCTTGTGATCGCTGAATATGGCAAACTTCATTCCATACAAGAAATGCCTCCACTGTTTCAATCCAAAAACAATTGCAGCAAGCTCAAGGTCATGGGTCGGATAATTTTCTTCATGCGGTTTCAATTGCCTTGATGCATACGCTACCACTCGCCTATCTTGCATCAGCACACAACCCAGTCCCTTTTAGAAGCATCGTTGTATAACTCAAACTCACCTTTCGGATCGGGAAGTACTAACACCGGAGCAGTCGTCAATTTCTCCTTAAGGCTCTGAAAGCATTCTTCACATTCCTGCGTCC